ATAATTCTCACCAAGGCTGCAGTTATTTTATAGAAAATACAGTAAAAACAGCAATTTTGTGAAATATTGTTGCAATTAAAAATAGCCGTTTTCTATGTGAATACGAGATTAAAATGTAATTTATTTCTATGATAAAAGCTGAATTTTCAGCATAATGACTCCAGTCTTCACATTCATTAAAAATATAAAACTGGAAAAAAAAAAACGATTTTCAAAGTTGATAATAAATAATAAATTAATTTGAACATACTGTATATTCACATAGAAAACAGTTGTTTTTTAATGTAATGCATCAGTGTAATGCCGTTTATGAGGAGAAAAGTCAATGAAATCCATCCAAATTTCAAGAATGCATTGGAGAAAAGTTTCCATTTTAAATGTGAATCCTCAAACAAGCATGCTTCTGCATGTGCAATACTTACAAATCTTGCTTAATTAATTCTCACATTCAGCAGGGAATCACAAGCAGACCTTCATCTAGAAACAACCTTTAGCTTTATTATCAGGAGAATCCAGCGGTTTGAGAAAAGTTTCCATTTTAAATGTGAATCCTCAAACAAGCATGCTTCTGCATGTGCAATACTTACAAATCTTGCTTAATTAATTCTCACATTCAGCAGGGAATCACAAGCAGACCTTCATCTAGAAACAACCTTTAGCTTTATTATCAGGAGAATCCAGCGGTTTATTAATCTATTGCTTTTTTTTATTACAAATTACCTTTCATGGTAATATCTTAATTGCTTAATTAAGTTGGCCTATAAACCTGCAACAGTAAGCAATGTTATTAAAGATCAGCCTTTCTCTGGCACACAATATTCATTCTTTTCTTTCCTTTTCTTTGTTAGGCTTAAGTACTAAAGCAGACGCTGTCAAGCTTCGCCTCAGGAGCTGATGAAAAATCTGGAGTGACTTAAAGCTCTCGACTAGATTATAATATTATATAAGAACTCAAACGTTCAGAGTCTTCCTTCTAGTGCAGCTGCACACAGCAATCGATCAATAAATCAACAAGAGGAAAAACTTTATAAAGAGATTTGACTTCAACGACCTCTAGATGATTTATTCAAAATCTGCGCACACCATCCCAACAAAAGCCTATTTATAACATCTGCTTTATGTGTTCAAATAGAATCATAAAAACAATGCATGATGTGTAGAAACCAGATGATGACCCATAATGCACCACTGAAAGTTACCCGACTCCATGTCACCTTCAGATGCTTTTACGACTCAATGGAACAATTACGCGCTAATCGTTGTGCGTTTAGATAATTGATTGTTTTAAAGCCCGAAGGCTCTGGTATTACTGACGCTGTGCGCTTTAATAGAGAATCCGATAGAGATGTGCGCATGCTGAAGGCAGCGGCCCGAAACGCTACACAAACACAATCGAACGTCACACGACGCTTCAGGAATAATAACCTTTCTGCAGCTTGTTTACATGATGGTGTTGGAAAAGAACAGCGGCGAGCTAGTCGACTGAAGAAAGCATGGCTGGATTTTTGGAGGGAAAAACATTTCAAATGTATCGTCAAAAATTCCTAGAGAATTTTCTCAGGAGTAACATGAGTAAAGATCTCAGTTTGAGTGCTATACACTCTTAAAAATAAAGGTTCTTCACGATGCCATAGAAGAACCTTTTGTCTAAATGGTTCCATAAAGAATCTTTAACATCTGAAGAACCTTTCTGTTTCACAAAAGCTTCTTTGTGGCGAAAGAAGGTTCTTCAGATTACAAAAAGGTAAGAAAGAGATGGTTCTTTAAAGAACCTTTGACTGAATGCTTCTTTGTGGAACCCAACATGGTTCTTCTATGGCATCGCTTGAAGAACCTTTTGAAGCACCTTTATTTTTAAGAGTGTAGGAGAAACATTTGAGATATTAGAGATCCAATTTATGAATTTAGTATTTCATTCCAGCTACACATTTATAAAACGATGTTTAAACACTTTTAGAAAGAAATGCAGCAGATGCTGGAGTTCAATAAATACAGGTCATTATTTTATAAACGTATCAATTACAACATGACACGTAAACTAAATAGATTTGTGATTAATGAGACTTTTGTTGTACATTTCATGAATGTTCTTTAAGTAAAAAGTAAAAAAGTAAAGTAAAAGTGGCCTTAGCAATGAAGTGAAATAAAATTAAATTAAGCTGAAGGACTAAAATTACTAATAATAAAACTTAAATAAATCGAAATGAAAACCTAAAAAAATAATAATAATAAAAATGGCAATAGCACATAATAAAATTACAAAAATACAATTAAAATAAAATCGGAAAATCAATTCAAAATATTAATACATTTCGTTACAGTAAAACAATTTACAATTACAATTTTAACTTAAAAAAACCATAAAACTTTATGAATTATATATAAAGAGAGAGAGAAAAATACAATCTAACTCAACGTCATGTGCTCAGATTCATCAATATATCATCGTCTGCAAAAGTCTCAATATGAATTCAAATGTTTTCATTAAATTCCTCCAAATGTCTTAATTTCTGACTCATTTGTCTGTTTTTATTTCTCCAAAGGAATATTACGAGAAACATCTGTTAACGCTGAAATAACACATAACTAAGAAACCAATTACATTTTGTGAGCTATGAAAGAGCATCCTTTAAGCAACAAAATGTTCCTCCTGTTCAGTTTCATTTGTACCTGCATTTGGCAGCTGTTTTGCTCCATCTGGGAATTAACGAGTGTCGTGTATCTCAGCTAACGATCCTGGACCATAAGCCACTTCTGCTATGAATATAAATGACATATAATTCATACAATCAGTTCAAATTTACTACAAAGATGAATACATTTTCAATGTTTTTGAAATAATTCTCACCAAGGCTGCAGTTATTTTATAGAAAATACAGTAAAAACAGCAATTTTGTGAAATATTGTTGCAATTAAAAATAGCCGTTTTCTATGTGAATACGAGATTAAAATGTAATTTATTTCTATGATAAAAGCTGAATTTTCAGCATAATGACTCCAGTCTTCACATTCATTAAAAATATAAAACTGGAAAAAAAAAAACGATTTTCAAAGTTGATAATAAATAATAAATTAATTTGAACATACTGTATATTCACATAGAAAACAGTTGTTTTAAATTGCAATGATATTTCATAATTGTACTGAAGTTTTGATCAAATAAATGCAGCATTGGTGAGCAGCAGAGACTAAAACATGAAAAATCTGAATTATTCGAAACTTTTCAGAGTAGCTGATGGAAATAAATGGACGCTGACAGAATGTTTTACAAGCACTGTCTTATACTAGTACACATTTATTTACAGCGGTAAAGTACAGTTTTAACAGGTGTTCCAGTGGTAAAATCAGGATTCAGATGTTCTCCATCAACTAAAGACCTGCGGCACACACGGAAGAAAAGAGCTTCAATCACCCAGAACAACAAAGCAAGAGACTTTTCTGTTATGCATAGAGTATTTGAACAGAAACGCATCTGAATGAGACTGAAACACAGAAGCAGCTGGAAACAGTTCATGATTAATGTAACATTTTTCTCTTTTGTCATTTCTGGCTTAATGTAATGAATACAGTACTTCACATACATGGAGTTCTGGAGAGAGAGAGAGAGAGAAAAAAAGATAGCAACAGATGTTTTCTATCCAGATGGTTTGTATGTCTTCACTAAAAAAAATGCAATGCAAACTGCATTTTTTTTTTTTTTTTGCAACTTCATAAGCAGGTGTGAGTGGTTTCATTGACATCATACAGGCTTTACAAACACTTTACAAAACAGATTTGGTAGATAATGCCCTGCTGCTCCATTAACGACCCACAGAAGAGACTCTTTTCATTCCTAATGTTCTGGGAACACGTGTTATACAGGAACACTACATCATACGTCACACTCATGTATGTACAAACAGCTGTGAACCATAGTAAAATATATCAAATATAATAAGAACTAAAGTGGCTCGAGTGGCAAACGCTGCCTTTATCAACAACATCGACCAGAATCTCACGCTACACGTATACACAGACACGAATGACTGACAGCGTGTGTTACACAATTAGCATGTGTTCTTGTGGCAATACGTGTTGTAAATTATAATACGCTTCGTTAATTGAAATAAAGCAAAACATATATAAATATTAGATAAAAGTTTTAAAATTAAAATACAATTTAAATGCTGCCTTGGAGCACTACAAGTACTAAAAATAAAAATAAAACAAAAATAAAGACTGCAAAAGGTGATTTTCTTCGTTAGTATTTTTGTCTTGTTTTCTTGTATGAATATCTACAAATTCTGGAATTAAGATGCATTTACTCGACAAGTAAAATGAGGCTTGTTTTCTGAAAAATATTATCCAAATTTTGTTAGTTTTTGCTTAAAACAATTAAAAATATCTGCCAATGGGGTAAGAAAAATAATCTTGTTTAGCCTTTGAATTAAGATTATTTTTCTTACCCCATCGGCAGATATTTTTGCTTGTTTTAAGCAAAAACTAATGAAATTTGGATAATATTTTTAGAAAACAAGACAACATATCTTAAGTCGTTTTACTTGTCAAGTAAATGCATCCTGATTCAATAAATGTTATATAATTATACCAGAAAACACGACATAAATACTAAGGAAGAAAATATTTTTTGCAGTGTATATAAGATGCCAAATTTTAAATAAACATAAAAGCACATAATAAAATTACCCAAAATTACACTAAAATGAAAACTGAAAAATATAAAAACATAAATGAATATTAATAAATGTCATGAAATTGAATTAAAATATAAATATTATATTACAATTACAAAAACAAACGGAATTAGTAATATAGCTTTAGAAGCTACGCAAAATAAAATACGTTTAAGCCAAAGTATTAAAATGAATAAAAATGGCAAAATCTAAATCACATAATACGTTAGAAAAATGTAAACTAAAATTAAAAGGAAAACTGAAAATTATATATATATATAATTCCTGAGCAAATTAATTAAACTGTTGACATGTTCACAGCAACTACCTGAATAACGAATTAAAGCAAACTCTAGCAACACTGCGCTCACAAAGCGTCTGTCAAACATTCGCATCTTTGTTTGTGTATTTGCGTACTCATTCTCACATACACTCACACATGCACACATTAATCAGCATAAATTAATAAGAGCATTTCATCTGGCATCATGGCAGTTGAGCAAATCCAAACTACAAAGTCACTTTACTACAAAGTTTTGCCAGGTTTCTTTTGCGAAGTGACCCCTGCGTTTAAAACTCATGACGACGAAATGGAAAACAAGCTTCAGAATTCGACATACATAAGACGCACCACCTAGTTCTCGCCGGACACGCCTGGAAAAATAGAAGAAATCCAATCCATCTGGATTTTCCCCATGGAAAAGTCCTACCAAAACATCGAAAAAGCCAAAAACCCATGAAGTCTCTTAACACATTTAGATGAGAAGCCCAGAATCTGAAATCATCAAGACTATAGACACAACACAACGTCCCGCTGGGCAGAAAAAATCTGACTCGACATGCCTGGAAAGTAGAAGAAAGGTCTGGAAACATATTTCTGAGATCCTCCACGGCCAAACCAAAAAAACATCAAGACGCAAACGCCAACCGAAAAGTAGCGCTGGAGTCATCGTGAATATAAAGGACAGTAGATTTATCACAAAAACGCAGTCTCTGTTTGCATTTGAACATATTTACACACCCTTCTTTCTTATCTTTTCGTTTCTCTGTTATGATATTTTCTGCTTTCTGCATTTGGTCTGAGTTTGTTCGGGCTGGGATCGTCTCCGGGCTCCATTACGCTTTGCTGTCGTCCTGTTTTGTGTGGATGCTGTTGTCCGTGTGGACCTTGATCTCGATCAAGTCCGGCTTCAGCACCTCCTTGCCGTTCTCCTCCTTCAGGTATATACTGCATTAAAGGAAAAGTTCAGGTAAAAATGAAAATGTGCTCACCCTCAAACCATCCAAGATTAGGATGAGTTTGTTTCTTCATCAGATTTGTAGAAATGTAGCATTGCATCAGTGTCTCAGCAATGGATGCTCTGCAGTGAATGGGTGGCGGCAGAATTGGAGGAAAATGAAAATGTGCTCACCCTCAAACCATCCAAGATTAGGATGAGTTTGTTTCTTCATCAGATTTGTAGAAATGTAGCATTGCATCAGTGTCTCAGCAATGGATGCTCTGCAGTGAATGGGTGCCGTCAGAATGAGAGTCCAAACAGCTGATAAAAACATCACAATAATACAAGTAATCCACACCACCCCAGTCCATCAGTTAAAGTCACATTAAAATCCAGACACATATTTGTTTAACGTCTTAATGCTGGATGTGTTTCAGCTTTTGTCTTCTCCAGATGTGAACTGATGGACTGGAGTGCTGTGGATTATTGTGATGTTTTTATCAGCTGTTTGGACTCTCATTCTGATGGCACCCATTCACATCCAATGGTGAGCAAGTGATGCAATGCTACATGCAATGCTACATTTCTCCAAATCTGATGAAGAAACAAACTCATCTGCATCTCGGATGGCCTGAGGGTGAGCACATTTTCAGCAAATTAAATTTTGGGGTGAACTATTCATAAAACATTGTATTCCATTCTGAACACAATCGTCTACATGTATCTATTAAAGATGCTTAAGTTTAAAAAGATGCTAAGGCATGTTATGATGTCCTCCTTAATCTCAATCACATTTTATTTTGACTTCTGACTCAGTGCTAATCACACTATAGCGAGTACTTCAACTGTTTATGTGAGCAATAATATCTGAAAGAATCTTCCATAAGACGATTATGACAGTAAACCCACCAACGTGGGACTTAATGCGCCGCTAATGCAAACAGATCAATAGACTCAGTCTTTTATTAGCAAATGAATCTCATGAGGTCTGTCTAATGCTAAAGCAAGTCTGATCATTTACTGAACTCACTTGGCAGAACGTTATTAAACGAGCCCATTACTGCATATCTATATGTGCATATTATTAATAGTGTTTAATGGTAATGGGAATATATTATGAAATAATTTACTGTAAGTTGAGGGTGGAATTCAACCCTCATTATTAGATAATGACTGTCAGTTTCTATCAATCATCAGATTCAGAGGAGACAGATGATGACTTCATTAGCAGCCCTTCAAATGTAAATGTTAAAATGATTATAAAATCATTGAAATGATGCTAAACGATGCAAACACTCTCACAAAGACAACGTTTTTTCAACCAAACGTCTCTGAGTTACTGTTCTAATGTTTGGGGTCTGTAAATCGTTACTTAGTCTCTTCTGCTCACCAAGGCTGCATGAATTTGATTAAAAACTCACAAATAGTCATCCATCACATCTAACGAAAGATCCAGTGCAATGACGAGCGCACGAGAAAGACGGACGGACCGAGAACCGACGGCACTCATGCAAACGAACGCCGATGAACTCACAGATACGCAGCTTTGCCCTCCTCCAGCTCTTTGCTCTTGCCGCTGGTGGAGGTTTTCTTGCTGCAGAGCTTGCGGGTGATGCACATGAGCAGGCCACACTGACGCAGGAAGAAGCAGCTGATGTCCACCAGCACCAGCAGCAGAAGAAGAGCCGCCACGCCAAGCCCCACCACCGCGCCGAGGCCCAGGCCGCTGAACAGGGAGTCTGCTGAGACCGGAGAGCAAAACACACGCTCAACAGCCATGTCTGAAAACACATCTCCAATGGATGGAGACGAGAGATGAAATCAGCAGCTCAGAGATTCAGACGTTTCTTCATGATCATGTTCTGCTTGGGTCCGAAATAGAGACGACAAGGCTTTGAACATCTCATGGTAGTTCAGGTTCAGTTTTATGGCAACAGTGAATTTTATTGCATGCATCTAACGTCCAAATGCAAATCTATAAATAAGAATAAATGCAAAGCACAACACACTAACACTGTCAATTTAAACACCGCTGTCAGATTTGTTTTGCCATATACTTCCATTATGCAATTTATTTTTTTTGGCCAGGGTCAAACATTACTATATTCATTCATTCACTTATTATTGTCATATTTTTGAAAAATCACATGCATAAATGCAATAAACGTTCACATGCTAAAACACTAACATTTGCTGATGGATGTCCACGTTGTTGCCAGTAGTGTTATTTTAGTATTATTATAGCATTTATTAATATTTTAAGTTATTTTTCACTTTAATTTGAGTAATTTTTTTATGTGCTTTTTGTTTTTCATATTTATATGTAGCTTTATTTTTATTTGAGTTTTAATTTGGTTAATTATTTTAGTCAAATTAAACTTATCTCAGTTATCTTCAGTTTTCGTCTAATATTATTATTTTATTTTATTTATTACGTCATTTCAATATACAATTTATTTTGTATAGTTTTATTTAACAATGAAACCGTTCAGTAAACATACTTTTATAACAGACATCAAACATCCTCCATTTTTCTATCTATGAAAACAAGAATACATATTATTTCTATTTTGAATTTTTAAAAAAAATCACATTTTATATGCTTTTGACATTTTTTAAATACATTAATATTTAGTTTTATTTTATTTAAGTTTTAGTAACATTCACCTTCTTTCATTTGAGTTTTTAAAGCTTTTTTTATAGTTTATTTATTTTATTAACTTTATTTCAATAGATTTAGTTTTAGTTTACAATAACAACCCCGGCTGCCCGTCTATGTGGATCTATTTTCTTATATTTTTGCAGGGGTCAAATGTTACCTTATTGGCTAATAGTCATATTTCTGGAAAAGTGCATCACTCCTTTATGATAACACAAAGACAAGAAAGTTCATCTAAAAGAAACATGACAGTTTACAATACATTGAAATGCTTAAAGATGCAATCCAATAGTTGAAGAAAAAACGTGTGCAGTTCTTTATTCTTCCACTAAAAGCATGTACTTACCGTAGCTAGACAGAAAACAAACCTTTTAAATGATTTCTGAGTAATCACAGGTTAAAAGATATGACTGTTCAATACGCTCTTCCCGTATTGATCTGAAGTAAGTCAAAGCTTTAGGACATGATTCTGCAGCAGTCCATCTTCAAGTTGTTTTGTTATGGATGAAAGGCATCAAAGATTCACACACAACATGTTAGAAATACAAAGAACCAGACTGACATTCACCTTCATATTACGGTTTATGGAGCGGATACGTGGACTGACCCGCAGCGTAAACACCATCTGAGAGCATCTAAATGTCTGTTAATGTACTGCAGACGCCTGAAGCACTGACTGATTAGAAGAAAACTCTTAAAAATGGGAAACCTTGAGTCAACATCAGCGCCCTGAACATCTTCAGAGGGTTTCATTGATTCACAGAGCATCAAACACAAACACGGAATTCATGTTCAGTGCTGGACGAAGCAAACAGAAGTCAAACTTCAAAACACTCGCTTTTGCCGCTTCAAGTTAAAGCAATAGTTCAGCCAGAAATTAAATTAGCTGGCCATCCGAGATTAGGATGGGTTTGTTTCTTGGAGAAATGTAGCATTGCGTCACTTGCTCACCAATGGATGTGAATGGGTGCCGTCAGAATGAGAGTCCAAACAGCTGATAAAAACATCACAATAATCCACAGCACTCCAGTCCATCAGTTAACATCTGGAGAAGACAAAAGCTGAAACAAATCCAGCATTAAGACGTTTTTAACTAAAATACCATAGAGTCTATAATCCATAATAACGCTTCCTCCGGTGACAAAGTGGTCTGGTGTGAATCAGGAGAGAAATCTGCACAGATAAACAAATCTGTGGCTGGATTTTGATGTGAGAGACGACAGCAGATGCACTTTTTCACTGGAGGAAACGTTATTATGGATTATGGACTCATATTTTTTTGTTAAAAGCGTCTTAATGCTGGATTTGTTTCAGCTTTTGTCTTCTCCAGATGTTAACTGATGGACTGGAGTGCTGTGGATTATTGTGATGTTTTTATCAGCTGTTTGGACTCTCATTCTGACGGCACCCATTCACATCCATTGCTGAGACAGTGATTCAATGCTACA